GATGATCTTTACAATGACATGGACTTCAGTGCAGATCTGCGTGATGATCTGAAGTGTATATGCAAGCATCTTGGACTCGCTGAACTAGTGCCGATTCAAAGAGCCAGTCACAGATGGATGTCAATTTATGATGCTTCCGCTAGATTTCTTGAAATCCACAATGCTCCGAGTCTTTTTTATTCGTCATGGTTGACAGTTGAGGAAAAGCAGCAACAGCAACCACTGCTAACAAGAATCCTACAAGGTATAAGGAAAGACTCAAGGCTCAACATTCTAAGTATTCTTCAGAGGCTTAAGTCAAAGAAGTTAACTCCTGCTGGGAAAGAAAGAAAGAAGAGGATCTCAGACAGGCTTATCAAGAAAAGACAGCGCAGCCTTTTAGTTGCCAACATCCTTGTCAGCATCCTACCTCTTTTCAAGAGTTTCATTCTGACGTTCGAACAGAAAGAGCCGATGGTGCACAGGCTCCATGATGAGCTTACTCTGGTCCTGAAAACTTTTAAAACCTGTTTCCTGACTCATGAGTATGTCAACAGCTGTCACATTTTCAAAGTCAATGCCTACTCTGAAAACGTTCACACCTTGGATAGAGTGTATGTTGGAGATGCTGCCAAATTAATTTTAGAAGAAATGGGAAGATATGAAGCCCAGGCCCACATGAAGACTGTTTTACTTTCCTATCGGGAGACCAGTGCATACCTTATCCAGAAACTCCCTATCAAGAATAAAAACCTTCAACTTTTGTCTACTCTTGACCCAGAGCTCTGTGGTCACAGTAGAGCAGCATCCGGACTGCAGGACCTTTTTGATCTCCTTCCTAAACTCACAGATAATGTTCAGAAAGACACATTTACAACAGCTGCTTCTTCCCTTCAGAATGACACTAAATTCACCTCTACCATCAAGGAGAAAAAACTGGACAAGTGGTGGTCAGTTGTCCTCAACAATTCCCAGTATGCTATTCTTGGTCCTGTCATCAAGGCTTGCTTGTCCATTTTCACAGGGCCCAGGGTTGAATCCTCTTTTAGTATTATGAACAATGTAATTACAAACACCACAAATAGAACTCAAGTGCAGACATATGAGGCCATCCAAAAAGTTAAATACAAGCTACTTAATCATCAAAAGAAGTCTACCCAGTTTTACCACAGAGAGGATCCTGTCTGTTCTCCAGTAGACCCTTCTCTATGCTACCATATGCAAACAGCAGCAAAAAGGATGAAGTCTGTGAAAAAGTCACAAGTCAGAAGGATTCCAAAGTTTAAGAAAACTACTACATCTATCCATGAAAGGGCAAATGAGGCAAGAGCAGCCATTGAGAACAATACTGGTAGCCTTACATCATCACTTAGTGCTGTTAATGCAAGCACCTCCTCCAAGCCAGAAGAGATAGTGATAGCCACATGTTCCACCCAGCAAGCTACCGTCACTTCACAATGTCTAAAGAGGAAGACTCAAGATGATGAGCCCACCCAGCCACCCAAGAAGAAGTCCTGCATAAGGGATTTCTTCAAGAAGTAGCCCATGAAGTTAAATGTATTCTCAACCCCTCCTGAAGCTCAAATCAAGCTGTTAAAAGGTAGGTAAACACATGTGTAGCTAAATAGTTGCTGTCTTTCATCTCATTACTATTCACTTTTTCTACATCTTTATCAATGGTTTGAAAGTAATACTTCATTATATTTTTTTTCTGTGGGTACTGACAGAACAATAATTGGGTTAAAATGTGAACTTTTTTTCCCCTCCACAAAGTTTGTGATCATTATAAAATGGCCCAGAAATGCACTATTTTAAGCATATTTTCAAAAAATTTTCCGGGGGGGCATGCCCCCGGACCCCCCTAGTAGGGGCTCCCGCCTTCGGCGGTCGCATTTCAGCTTCCGTAAAATGTTCAGATTTTTTTTCTGGAACCCATTTACATCCCTGCGATTGAATAATTTGTCTGCGCAGATTTTGAGATCCAATAACTAGAGCCTAGTAAGTTTACCTTTCATTATATATCTCTATATTATGATAATTGTCTAACGTAACTTTATTCATTTGTTTGGGTCATCCATTTGCTTTTAAAAATAATTTTTGTGTTTCTTTAAACGATCAAAATTGATTTAGTGTATAAAATCCAGTCAAGTCATATACATATATAATAGTATAGCTTGATATGTTTTACTTATTTTTTGTTGTTGTCATTTTCGATATATTTAACTGATATTTATCGACCTTTTTTGTCGGATCTCTATTTTTGTAAACAGTGAAAAAATGACTTCTTCTTATAGCGCTCACTCTTTGTTATGAACTCGCGCCACTGGTGGTAAACACGTTTCTGGGCTGTTCTACTGGTGTTCGGATTTCTAGAATTCATTTGTTCTCTGAATGTTGCAGAACTGACTTTCTCTTTTTCTCTCTCTGTGCTGAGACAGCGCATTATATTTTTCTTTTACCTTACAGCGTTGCGAAGTGTACGGTCTAGTGTTTTTCAGACCTTTGTTGAAATGGCTCTGTCTATTAGGGCTGGATTCTGCTCGGTTAATCGAAGGCTTGCAAAGCAGCGGACATCTTGCGCTAGAGTCTTGCGAGCAGGCTTGTGGTTT